TCCCACGGCCCTGGGGACCAGGTAGGGCGCGGCGGCCGTGGACGTGCCTGGCAGGCGCGGGGTGGCCGGCCGGCGAGGGACGCGAGCGTCCCGGGAGGGGTTAGTGTGCGGCGCGCCCCCGCCCCCGGAGTCTGTCGGGCCCGGTACCTCGCTCGTCTCCGGGTCCGGGTGCCGGCGCCCGGCGCCCCAGGCCTGGCTGCGCAGGCGGAGGGACCTCGAGAGCCGCGTGCTTCCGGCGGGGGTCTCGCCTCCCCCACCAGCTGGCAGCGACCTTCTCGGCAGAGCAGGCCCCGCCCAGAAGCCCGGCCTGTGGAAGGGTTCGTGGAACACAGTCACCCTCGGCCCCTCGAGGCGGGGGTGGGAGGCCACTCTAGACCCCTCCACTGTGCACCTCACCCTTCGCGGGAGCCGAGGACAGGGCGCTAACTGTCTGCACGCTCAGGGCTGGGGGCCTTTAGACGCGGTGGGGAGTCGGCTGAGCGTGGCCCTATTCAGGGGCCTTTGGGCAGCCAGGCTGCGGGGCTCGCTCCCCCGCAGAACTAGGCGCTCAGAGCGAGGCGGGCGGATTACCGCTTTATTCTAATCCGGCTGCGAGCTGCGGCTGCCGTCTGTCTGGGGCTGTCGGGCGGGGCAGGGACCAGGAGGGCGCCCGAAGCGGCGGGGGGCAGGGGAACCCGGGGCTCGGGAAGCTGGGGAAGGAAGGAGCCACCCGACACTGACAGCCGGGGAGTCCCCCGGCCCGGCCCTGGCCCGCCCTTCGGAAGGCTCCCGGTGCCAACTGAGCGGAGGGCGAATGAAAGAGACCTACCTAATCCGCGTCCGCGCCCAGAGCCAGGGCGGGCCCTCCCCTCCCGGGGGAGCCGCCGCCTCAGTGGGGAAGGAAGGGGGATGGGACGGGTCTGGGGGCGGCTCCTCTCCCCCTCCCCCTTCCGGGACAGGCAGCCTTTGTTCCCGGCGGCAGCGGTGGCCAGACACCTGAGACTGCGGAACTGGAAAGGATGGGTGGGTGGGTGGGTGGGAACGTGGCGGAGACCCCGAGGGACGCAGCCCCCTGGTCCCCCTAGCCTTGCGCCACCAGGTCCGGGTGCACCCGCCGAGACTCGTCGGCGTCGCGCACCTTTGTGCGGGGAGCCAGGGAGTCGGTCCTGGGGCCCCACTGTGCGCCCCAGCTCCGAACGCACCTCCCCTCCCCCAACCCGGCTCGGGGTTCCTGCGAGCTGCGCTCCACGCACCTCGGCAACTCCGGAGTCGGAGGGCGGCGGGGTGTCGGGGCACCTGGGCAGCGGCACCCAAGCTCTAAGGCAGGAAGCGGGGCTGGAGGCGGGCGGCGGGGCCCCTGGGGCCCGACCCAGCGGGCGGGGCTCTGCGTCGCCACAGTCGGGCCGGGCGTGCCCTGCGTCGTGCACCAACCGGAGCCACAGTCAAGGTGAATCCGCCCGCCCGCCCCGGGCCCGCCCCGGCCCCGCCCCGTTAGAGGCACCTGAGCCAATGGCGCGGCGCTGGGGGCGGGCGGGGTCGGGGGCGGTAAAACCCTCCCGAGTCCTGATCTCCGCACTCGATCCGGTCCCGCGCCCCTGCGTCCCAGCCCACCGCCTGAGTCGGACCGCGCCGTCCGGGGCACCCGCGCACCCTGGCCCTGGGGCTCTCGGTGCCGGTCCCCTCCGGCCGTGTCCGCGGAGGCCGCTCCTCCTCAGGTGGCAGGCCAGGGCCTCCCCCAGCGGACCTGTCACCCGACACCCAGGAAGCGCGCCGCCCCATCCCGGCTCCTCTTTGTTCCCCCGCCGGGCTGGGGCCGCCTCCTCCCGCGCCGGGCCGTGAGGGCTCGGGACTCGCGCTCCGCCGGCCCGGCGCGCTCCGAGTCCCGTCGATCCGCCCGTTCGACACGAGGGCCAGTTCGCCTTGCATCCTCGAGTGGACCCTGCGCGAAGCTGCAAGGCGGCGCGCCCAGCCCGGACCGCGCAGGTGAGTGGCCGGGCGGGGCGGCGGAGGCGGGCGGGCGCCCGGAGCGCGCCGGGCCCAACCCCGGGCTCAGGCGGCCGGGCGGACGTCGGGGATGACGCATCAGTACTGGGGCCACGGGAGACGGTCCTCGGCCTTGGGTCTGCGCCCCGCACTGCTCCCGGGCCAAGGTCGTCCGGGGCGGGCCCAGCGCTGCGGACCCGGCGTCTCGCCGGGGCGCGCCGCGCTCCGCCGCCCTGGTGGGCCTGGAGCGAAGCGCTCGACTGGAGGCAGCCGGGGCCCGGATGGGGAGGACCGCGCTAGGAAAGCTGGTTTCGGGGCCCCTTTGCGGAGCGTGCAGCAGGTTCGTCTCCGCGGCCCCGCCCAGTCTCGGGGGAGAGTCGTCCTCCAGCCTCCGCAGCTCTGTGGCCCCCCATCCCGCGAGCCCCTGAGCGCGCGGCGAGACACCATCCCCTCCGCGTGCAGCCGCCCGTGTGAGCGCCCCGCTCGGGGCCGGCGGCTGAAGGGCGCGCCTCGGCGCCTCTGGGGTGGGCGCATCCCAACTGGGGTGTGGGCTGTGAGGATGCTGTCCCGCCAGGCTGTGGCGGTAACGTCCCCTTCCCCCAGCCTCGCCGCCTCGCCGGGGTCTGGAAATGACCGTCGGGGCGGGGGGCGCTAACACCAGCTCAGAGAGATTAGGCGCCGGGAGCGGGCTGGGCTCCAATTCCCCTCCCCGCCCCCACCCCGTCTAGATGTGGGGGGGTCTAGAGGCACCCTCAGCCGCCCGGTCCCGACGGGGTCGCGCAGCCGGGGTGCTGAACCAAAAGTAAACCCCAGCCGTGGAGTCGATGCCGAATCACAGCGACCCTATGGGAAGGAGTAGAATTGCCTTGGAGGATTTTCAAGGCTGTCATTTTTACGGAAAACAGACTGCCTCCTCTTTTTCCCGCGGAGCGGCTGATGGGTAGCCGACCTTTCTTTTCGCGACCAAGCGCTTTCAGTGCTGTACTACCGGGGTCCCTTCCCGGTGCTGGGAGGTCCGCTTTCCCCTGGGCCGGAGAGTGGCGCATGTCTGCGCAGGCCCTCCGGGCCCTTGGACCGAGTCACTCTGCCCTATGGGGTGTGCACGCCCCACCGACCCGCAGTGCGCCCGAGGCCGAGCCTCCATTCCTGGCGGCCCCTCGCATCCGCCTCTGCCTCTCAATCCTTTAGGGCTCATGGCTTCCCCTTTATGTCCTCAAGGCTCTGGCCCTGATACTGAGGGGCCCTGGAGTCGGCCTTATGTAAAGAAGAAAAAAAAAAAAAAAAAACGCAGATGCCAGTCCTACTTGTGAGAATTTCGTTTATTCCTTTTCCCTACGAAGCGGATTAGAGGGGCCCCGCAGCCTGGGGCGGGGTGCTCTCAGCATCAGCCCCTGGTTTCTGCGCTTCTGGCCAGGGCCCGGCGGCAGGCGGCTTTGGGCCCTTTTCCTATGACCTCATAGGGAGATGCTGGTCGACAGTCGGCCCATCCCGAAGTATAACTGAGGGTCCGGCCCCTCCCAGCCCCTTGGGCCTCGAGGGCATTCGATGGAGACCGGAGGGAGTTGGGGCTCTACGTTCCTTGCATAGAGAGAGGTCGGGGCAGAATGAAGGGGCTGCGCAGTGGGCATGACCGGGGATCCCGAAGTCCTCAGAATTCGCTCTTAGCTCCTTTGTGGCAACGCCCAGGGAGAGAGATTCCTCGTGGAAGCCATCTCCAAGAGGCGTCTGAACATAGTCCTCGGAGAGTTCAGGGGGTAGGGGGAGACCAAACCAGGCAGGTGTGGGGTGTGCAGCGGTAAGGGCAGCAGGGACCTTCCTTGCAGGCTGTGTAGGATACGCAGGCACCGTGCCACCCTCCAGATAGCAGAGCCCAGAGGACAGAGCAACAGCGGGCCTTCTCACCTGGCCGGCACTTGGCTTCTTCTGGGCACACACCATCTCCCCTGCTTTTTAAACTTTAAAAAATATTTTATTTTTGTTGTTGGGAATACTTACGGCAGAACGTCCACCAATCAACAGTTTATATGCGTTCAACTGATTAATCCGCTGTTCTTTTCATTGCAAGCCAGTCACCCACCCAGGTAGGGGGCCGTGGCCAGCCTGCTCCGGGTATCTTTAGTTTCCAGGAGCAAGTTTCTGTGGTTTTGATCTCAAGGTCAGGGCTGTGGCCTACCGCGAGGATGGGGCACAGGCCTCAGTTTTCCCTCTGGGTATTTCCTAGGAACTTTATGGCTTAGTCCCCTCCCCCAGCACCCTTTGCTCCCCATTTCAAGAGAGCAGGGAGCCTTGCTTCTCAAGGGTCCAGGCTTGAGCCCCCCACAACCCAGTTACAAAAAGAACTGCGCTGCCCTGGGAGTTGACCTGGACGGGCGCGGCGGGCATGGCGCTGCCAGGCCACTGCGACTGGAGGCATCGCATCCTGCGGCATTTGTGTTAGGGGCGCGGCTGGCGTAGGGGAGGAGCCTTGGTCAGCTCTGCGACTAGAACCGGAGGCTGGAAGGGGATTTGACCTTGTAAGCTCTTCTGCGCCTAGCCCCCTACGTCGAGGGCAAAGATGAGGAAAATGGAGACCCAGTGTGTCTGCAGAGATGCCCCAGTTAGCCAGATCTGGTCCCCCTTGATCACCCTGCACTTTATGTGATGGGATAGTCCCTTTTGGTTCTTCTAGGCCGGGGGGTGCAGAGTCTGCAACATGAGTCCTCTGAGACCTCCGCCCGCCCCTCCACCCAGGCCAGGGCCCGTGTTCCGACACCCCTTTCATTACTCTATCAGAGAGAAAGGAATTCTGGGTTGGGTTTATCTAAACACCCTCAGGTCCAGCTTCTAACTGCTGAGGGTGGCCATCTTGTGGGGAGGCCCCAGACACTTTGCAGAGTGTGGCAGAGTTGTCTGGTGACCTATTAAAATGCAGATTTGGGTGTGGGCCCATAAATCTGCATTTCAACAGGCCCCTTAGGTGATTCTGTTGTTACACCGGGTGCAATGCTGGTGACCACCTACCTGCCTAGACCCCCACTGCTGTGGCTAACAACCGCCAGCCTCCAGGCTGGGAGATTCGGCCTTAGAGTTGTAGTGGGGGAACCTGAAGCAGAGAGTGGCTTCCAAGCCCACGTGACAAGACCACCCCCACACAAAGCTGGGCTGGCCTCTGGGGGGACAGGTCAGACAGAGGACCAAGACCCAGCAGTGGGCATGTGTTGAAGGAAGGCGAGGAGTCCTACGGGGATCATGGGGAAGACTGAGTGGAAATTAAAGGAACCCTGGTGGCACAGTGGTTAAATGCTCAGCTGGTAACCAAAAGGTCAGCAGTTTGAACCCACCAGCCTCTCCACAGAATAAACATGAGGCAGTCTGCTTATGTAAAGATTACAGCCTTGGAAACTCTATGGGACAGTTCTGCTCTGTCCTGTAGGGTCGCCATGAGTCAGAATCAACTCACTGGCAATGGGTTTGGTTTTTTTGGGGCACAGGTGGCAGGACAGAGTGGGTTTAGGTGCTGGGGTCCCTGGGGTTCCTGAGGTAGGACCATCAGGGGTTTACAGCTTCTGGCCAGGAGACTCCCTCTCTGACCCTTCCAGGGGCCTTTGGTCGTGTGGGAACCTTCTTAGCCCCCTGGGCCTCAGGCTGGGGAGACTGCGGTGCAGCGCAGATCGGTCCCCAGCCCTCCTGCCCTGGGCCCCGCTCCCAGGAGACCGACCCTCCTCCCTTCCTTGCACTCCCTCCTCTCTCCCTTTTTCCTCCCCCTTCTTCCCCAGGGCGCCTGGCTCAGAGGCCTGAGCCTGGTGCAGCAACTTCTCTCCAGGCAGCTGCTCTGGCAACCACTGATGCAACCCTCCCCGCCCCTCCCCTGCTCCCTTGCCTCTGCTTCCCTCCGCAGTCCCCTCAGACCCGCCAGAATCTGCAACCCTGGCCCGTGGCTGTGCCTCTAGCTCCCTCCCTGGCCGAGGCACTGCCTCGCCCCACTGACTCCTGGCTGGTCCCGCCCCCGTTGGCAGCAGAGATGCCCGGTCCAGACAGGTCATGGTCTGGTCTGGTTTGGGACGGGTAGGGGTAAGTTGCAGGCTTGTCTGCCCACTAAAGTTCGGTTTGTATCAGAAGGCAGTCGGTGGGGGGGGGTGGGACGCATGGAGGTTGATGGCTACCAAGGCTGTGCCACTCACTGGTCACTGCCCTTTGGGGCCAGGCAGGGCCAGGCATGGTGGGCAGAAAGGACTGGCCCAGTTGCAGAGGTGGAAGTGGCCGTGCCAGGGGCTCTGACAATCTGCCTTCAGGTTGTGACAAGAAACAATCCACAGGGACTTCTCACCTCCCATTCAAAGCCAGGCACTTAGGAGGCCTTGGTCGAGATGAAGTTAGTGAAGACCTGGGGTGAGAAGGGCAGTGAGCCGGGGATGGCGGATGGGGTTCCGGTAGCAGCTCTGGAGGGCCAGCTGGGGCCTGGAGCGGGCAGGCTGGCTGGCGGGAGTCTGCCTCGGGGTCCTGGGAGCGCGAGCTGCGGGCGCTGGTCTCTCCGCAGCATCGGCGGCCGGCGAGCGTGACTCCTGTTCTGTGTATGGCACTGGTAGAATTCACTGTGAACAGTCTCGGTCAGTGAATTACCGAAGGGCCATAAACAGAGCAGAGACAGACCCTCGAGGGCCTCGGAGCGCCCCTCCCCGGTGCGCCTGAACATCGGAGACAGCTGCTTCTGGGGTGACAGGGATGTGCCCCCGCCTGCGTCCCCAGGGGCCACACCAGCACCGTCTGCTTGGCCGATTTTGGCACTAGCACATTTTTGCTTGTTCTTTCCCCTCTGAGCAATTATGTGCAGTGCCAATATGGGAGAAGCGGCCACTCAGCGAGGCCCCCTACGTCCTGGGCGGCTCAGCCACACCCCACCTGCTCCTCCCCACCACCCCTGGTCCATCAGTCCATCTGCCTCAGCTGCGTGGTGGAGGTCGCAGCCTCCGTGGGCAGCCGGATCGATCGCCTTACATGCCTGGGGCCAGCAGAGCTGGGAGCCTGGCAATCTGAGCTGGGCCGGCAGATGGGGCCCCCCTGGGTTGGGGGTGGGGGTCGCCATCTGTAGGGCCAGCCTAGGTGGTGCCACAGGTCAGAGAGGCCTGGCGCGGTTCCCAGCACACCCTGGGGGTGAGGCCTGGGCGGCCGGCTTTTCGCTAAAGTACCCAGGGAGTCACCTCCTCGCAGTGGGGTGTCTTGAAGTCAGGCTGGGTGTTTGGGGGGGAGGGGCCTTTCCCTGGGACCGGAGGCTGCCTGTGGGGTGCGTCATCTCTGGATAGCACCCAGGAAAGGAGGGAGGGCCCTGGGAGGGGGTTGGAGTGTGGGGTTCAGGCCCTCCCTGGAAGCCTCTGGGCCTGCGACCACATTCCCCTTCCCACACTGCGCTTTCACCAGTCCCCGCATCCCTGGCTCTGGGTTATGACCTATTGAACCTGTATGGCCCATCTGTGATCAGGGGACATTACACATGTAATCTCATTAATCCCCACCACCTGACGGAGCCGGAATGTTTTTTGTCATCATTTTATAGATGAAGAGACTGTGATATGGATGAGGTCGGCCTCCCTGGTAGGTTTCCATGCTGGGCTCCCCACCCCCAGCTTTGCAGATTCTCACCCTGATTCTATAGGCCTGGGCTTCTAAGGGCACCCCAGACTCCCCAGAAATTGAGATGGAGAGGCCTGGTTCATCCAAGCTGAGCGAGCTGGCCAGCCAGCTGGCTTGGGACATTGACTGCCGGAAGCTGTCCTGTTTGCGGCCACCACCAGCCCTGAAACCTCAGGAGAGCACTGGCTGGGGACATGTCCATAGTCAGCAAGGGCCATTATGGTTTCTGAGTGGCAGAGGGAGTATGCAGCTTGGCTACTCAGCAGGAAAAGCCAGGCTACCACCACAGCAGGCCTGGGGGTCTTGGGAGCCCTGGGGACTGCCACCAGGCAGTCCCTCCTGGCTGGGGTTGGCTGTCGCTTCCAGGCCCCTGCAGAGGGAACGCGCTGCTGGCTGTTACAGGCTAGCAAGGGAATGCGTGGCATTCTGCACTGGTGAGGCGCCCCTGTCCCTGAGTCCCCTACAGCAGCAGCTCACGGCCCCAGCCCCCACCCCAACTCCCACCCTTCACCAGGACTCAAACTGCCAACACGGAACGCTTCCCCCCAGGCCGCCCAGCTATAGGTCTGGGGCATCCACCTCTTATCACAGTAACGCTGAGGGTGAGGTGGGCACTGAGTGAGGGAGCTAGCAGGCCCCTGGATACCTTCTGAGACGTCTTTTCCTTCCTGCCTAGCAGGCAAGGGCGGGACTTCCTGGGAGCCAGCGGGCCCCTGGGTGGTCTGCCTCCCTGTTCTGGGCTGCCACGTGGAGCTGGGCCCCAGTTCTTCCCGTGCCCTACTTCTGCTCCTCACACCTGCCCAGGTGGGTGCCTGTGCCAGGCCCTGAGAGTCAGGGGCTGGCAGAGAGGGGTGTGGAGAAGGCAGCCCCGTGCGACCAGCCGCCTCTATGCATAGTTGCCTGGGGCCCCGGCTCCAGCCTTCCCCAGGGAGACCTCAGCGTCTAACTGAGGAGTTTAGTGAGGCCCCGGTCAGGGCCCAGCTCACTCTTTGCAGCTGCTTCAGTGGGTGGGGAAGGGCAGCTGGAGGTGAACCCCTGCTGCAGCCTTCTCTCCTCCAGGCTTGAGCACATGGTGGGAGAGGCGCCCCTCCATCTCCCCCTTTGTGCCTCTCCACCCTGTAAAATGGAGACCTGGATGTTCCTTTGCATGTCCCCCAGAGGGTCTGGGACATGGGCGACAGTGTTCCCATTCAGCAGCCCAGTCTCAGTGCCGGAGACAAACAGCCCCAGACCAAGGCTCTCGCCGTCTGACTGAAGTCTCTCCCGCTGCAGCCGGACGCCTCCCGGAGCACTGTGTGCTCTGCTCTGGGGGTTTTGAGAGCAGCTGCTCT